CCACCATTCGTTTTTTTCCGACAGGGTCGGCACAACTGAAGATGCACCTGTACGTCCGAAGAATAGTACAGTCAGAAAGAATCGAAGTGATGAAGGGAGGCGCAATTTTAGCAATTCGGCAACATCGTGGCTGGCGCTACCATCAAATACGTCGGACACAACCCCCTCAAATGTCAGGCCTCATAAAGTTTCCGAACCAGCTTCCGCCAAGGCTATGTCTGCAGTAGAAAATACTGTAAACAGGGCACCAGAAACGGCTCTCGCCAACGATGATGCCCAAATTGTAACCATGCTTAAGGTGCTTGTTAACATCGTTAGATCTCTCATAGCGGGTCGTCAAACGCCAGCAGTATTAGCCGCACAAAAACTCTTGGAGGCTCTCGTTCGAGTTCTCGACAGTGTTCACTAAAAACAACATGAACACCTGTCGCAAGCGCCGTCCCTATGTGCTGCAATGGAACGTCAGGTCTTTACGACCGCGCCATTCTGATCTCGTTCTTAGGCTCCTTGGAATGAAAAATCCACCGGATGTTATAGCTCTCCAAGAAACCAATGTGAGAAATGACGCGCTTAGATTTCCGGGTTACGTGGGCATTCATAGCAATACCCGATGCACGGTGATGGCGTGTGCATCTTTCCAGTGTACAGGCACCACGCATGCACGAAATGCTTCGAAAGCGTCGTTAAACATATCTGATGTTCCTTTTGCAGTTATCGACGCAAGTGACCTCTGCGACGCTGATTTTGAATGTGTAGCAGTTGCTATTAATCTAAGGAACACAACTACGACTGTAGCAAGCAGATATTTTCGGCCACCGCGATCTTCGGATATCACATTGCTGGAGTGCCTGCTATCTTGGTGAGGCTCGTAATCTCTTCTGTGTGGACATTTCAATGCCCATCATCATTATTGGTGTTGTCGCCCCCAAGACAATCGTGGAGTGGAAATCAATGAGCTTATTGTTAAACATGACCTTAAGACCCCTAACGATGGCTCATCCACATTTGTCGGCAGAGAAAAGGAACAATCCACCATTGATCTTGCCATACCAACGACAGATGTGCGTCTTGCTTGGTCAAGCGAGGCTGACCCAAGGGGTTCATATCATCGGCCCATTTGGCTGGTTCTAGAGAATTCTCCTAGCACGAAGAGTGCTGCCTACACAGTGACAAATTGGGACAAGTTCCTTCAGCTGATTGCGAGGGCGCCATCACACGATAACCTGTTCAAACTAGTGGTTAAATGCAGCAGGCTACAGTACAACGGCTGCGAAGCATAGACAAGCCAAACCCTGACCTAAAGCTCTTGTGACTACATGCTTGTTGACGACGTGCTTACAGGAGGGCACAGCGTTCCAAAAAAAGCTCTGAGTGGACAGTTTATAAGCGCTTAGATGCAGCCATTCGGTGGCACACAAAACAACTTCGTCGAAGAAGTTGGGCCGCATTGTGTAGCTCGTTGCATATGGCGAGTGGTTTTGAGAGTGTTTGACGCATATTGAAGACTCTCCGAGCACCTGAGGTCTGCAAGAACCCAACTACAGCATTGTGCATCACGACTGGATGGTCTCCGAAAATTCTCACGCAAGACTTTGCTAATATTTTTACCTATACTATGCTAAAACACAACGCTAGTCATCATTCCGTACCAATTTTATATGGACCTCCATGTGGGATGGATGAGGCAGAATTCACCTTGGCCGAGCTACGTCATGCACTTAGTCTCTGTTACCATCGCACCACCCCAAGCGAAGAAGGTGTTAGGTACCAAGCCTTGCGAAAAATTGATGAGGTCTTTCATCAAAGTATTCTGAACGAATACAACAAAGTGTGGCAAACGAGTGTAATTCCTGCTGAATGGAAATCGCCTTTGGGGAAGCCAGTTTTAAAGCCTGGTTGCCCTGCACAACTCCTGAAGTCATACCGGCCAATATCCCTAAGTTCTAATGTAATGAGGCTTGTGGAACACATGGTGCTGTTTCGTCTGGACGCCAGGTTACAGGAGCTCACTTTCATTCCTGATGTCATGAGCGCATTTCGTCGCCACCATTCCGCCCTCGACAGCATAGCAGATCATGTATCATCGCTTGAATCTGCTCGAGCAAACAGACATTCAGCGTATGTTCTATTTCTTGACATACAGCAAGCGTTTGACTCGGTGCCACATAAGGCGATTATTTGTGCACTAATAAATAGAGAAATTTCAGGTCGTCTGTTACAATTTCTCCGTGATTTTCTATCTTAGCGCAAAATGAAAGTGCGCATTGGAGAAGTACAGAGTCAACCTTGCGCTGTTAAATGTGGCGTTCCGCAAGACAGCGTCTTGTAACCGCTTCTCTTTAACAGCGCACTTGCTGGACTTCCAGGCCGATTACCGCAAGATTGTGATATTCTCATAGGCATAGCGATTTATACTGATGACACCGCACTCTGGGTGTGTGGTCCGTCACACCATGGTCCACGTCTTCGTGGTATATTGCAGCGAGCTCTGATTACAACTTCACAATACTTGGTGGAAGTTGGCAAGCAGGTTTCACCTGCGAAGTCAGCTGCCATCGCGTATCATCCAAAGCAACGCGCTCGTCGAAGCCTTAGCAGGCTTTACCTCGGAGACTCACCGATACAGTGGGCACACCAACATCGCTACCTGGATGTAATCATCGATGATCGCCTTTCTTGGCGCCTTGCTGTTCAAACTGTGAGGCGAAAAGCGCTGTCTGTACGCTCTTGCGTGATGTATGTTTTGTCAGTCTTGAATGTGCCGCCTGCTTTAATGTCCCAGCTGGATCGGGATCATCGTGTTGCCCTACGAGTACTGTTTGGTTTACCTCGTGAAGCACAATCCATACCACTACTGACTGAAGCACACCAGTTGCCGCTAAAGCTGCAAGCTGAACAGAATGGGCTGCATCATATTGAGTGGCTGAAGCGAGACCCACATGGCAAGACACTCCTTAACAGGCTGTTACAGCGCCCACTTTCTCGAATGGGTAAAATGACAGCTTTGTTCAATGACATTACTGGCGATTCCTGCGAAACTATTCAGTTACTCACATTGACAGAGCACAGGCTATGTACCTTCCCTACCCATCTGTCAATTTCAGGAATACGCAAAAAGTGTGAGCAACCTGATTCGGAATTATACCAATTAGCCCATTCACACCTATTTGACAACTTTGAAGACTATGTAAAAGTATTTACGGACGCTTCTGTGCGCAGCGATGAACTGAGCGCATCTGCAGCTTTCTTCTACCCTTTAACCGATATCAGGTGGTTGTTTAAAATACCGCACGCCTCATCGTCGATGACAGCCGAGCTAGCAGCGATTGATGTCGCTCTTAAGTACGTACAAGAAGGGTTGCCAGCATCGAAGGTTGTCATCCTCACCGACTCTCGTGGTGTCCTTAGCAGACTCACCAGCAAGGAGACCGGCAGCCCTATTCTGAACAGCATCATGGAATCCATTAACAATATTCTGTCACGTGGGGTAAGCCTAGCTGCATAGTGAGTACCTTCGCACGTGGGTATCGCGGGCAATGAAGAAGCGGATCGCCTTGCTTGGTCATGCAACCATTGTGACTGTGACTGTCCGGGAATTTTATGTACGATGGACAACGCTCGCCTGCTTATACGCCGACACCTCCTAAAGCAGCACCCAGACCAGCGTGTGGCGAATGGATTGTTCTTTCCCCGTGTTCGTGACTGTGGCTTCCCTCGTAGTTCCTGAGCGCTGTCGTACAAACTAAGAGTGGGATCTGTGCTGATGCGTGAACGATTACACCATCAAGGGCATGGGGACAGCCCGTTGTGCGCAGCTTGTGGCTCCTGCGAAACACTTGAGCATCTCGTAGTGCACTGTCCCACATTTTCTACGCCGCGGTCTTTGCTGATTAAGGAATATAAATTCCTAGGACTCAAGTGCGCGACCCTAGACGACTACCTCTTTCCGAGTGGTAGTGCTTTCCGACGCGACCAGGCCCACCAAGCTTTCTTTACATTTATGAACCAAACAGACCTGGCCACCCATTTAGAGATGTTCTTTTTATTATTCTGTTTTCATTTTTATTATTTTTCTTCTTTTTTGTTATTTTTTATTTTTTTCTCATACTTGTCGAAATCTACGTCATTTTTTTCTCTTGCTCATCTTCTTTCCCCTTTCCCCATTTAATCTCTGTTTTCTCTGTTTCTTCCCTCCCCCCGAAAGAGTGAGCAGGCGTTGTGCCCTCCAGGTCGCAATTGCCAGCTTGCTCTCTCTCTCTTTCCTCTTTGTCCTTGTGTATCTGTGTATGCAAATCAAAGAATAATAATTATAATATTCTGGCGTTAAGGCTGCGCAAAAAAGACGAGTACAAGAAAGTGAACAATCAAAAGCGCTTGTCATGTTCACTTTTTTTGCGCTACATTTACGTCATAATGAATCAATACCAACGCGCTCTCATCTCCATTTGGCTTTATCAAAGTTATGTTAAATAAAAAACACGTAGTCGAACGCACTATCAGAATACCACTAATTTTTCACTGACGTCTTGACAAATTAGCCAAATATTGATCAAATGTTTTGTTTATCAACCCAACATTATCTAATCTTAGCACTACCTGACAAGAATAACACAGGTATTTCAAGAAGGGCTCACTCACCATTTTTCTGCGCACCAGCAACCACCGGGTTCCTGAACATTCGTGAGATCACAGTGTGTCGTTCACTGCCAGGAACCAAAACACGATTACTGTTCGCACAGCTCCCCTCTGTCAATAACGTTCCTTGCTGCTTGTCGCTTGTGATATCGAGAAGGCGCTCTGAACGATTTCCTTTTCTTCAACGCGGCCTAACGCTTTGCACAATCCTCACTGCACCGGCTTGGTCTCCCAACTGGGTATATTTTTGTTTGCAGTGTAGAACGCGCGTGTTTTTGTATAGTTCTTGTTTTTGCTTACTTGCGTCTATTCTGATGGTCAATCAGCACTGAGCTGAAGACGCAAATGACTTGTTTCTGACGCAGGAAAAAAAGAGAAAAAAAGAGACCGTTGCTAATAACGCGAACAGTGCCTGGACGCTCCCCGTCATGTGGCCTGAGGTGCTGTTCTCACTGCTCCTTCTCGGCTTTTCCGCTTCGCTGTCGTGGTTCCTGCGCCGGAAGTGGAAACTCGGTCTCTTTCGGCGCCATGGCATCCCGGGTCCTGAGCCTGAATTCTTCTGGGGAAACTACATGCAGCTCAAGGAGGACCGCATACAGGTCAGTTCCTGCCAAGAGGCTTCACAAGAAGCCTGAAAAAGGTGACATATTGAGGAGGGATGCGTATACGCAAATCCAAAAGGACTTGCCGAAGAAACCGAGTTATTGCGCAGGATTTCACATAGAGGCCTCGCTTTGCCTCTATGCAGCATGCACTTCATGCAATCTGAATAGCATTTGCTCAAAAATGTTACACAATCTTCCACTAAAACTAACCATGATTAGCATGCAAAGTAACGTATGGGACGGCCTAGACTTTCCTTCATGACGGCACTTCCCCGATGCTAACGCGTCCTTGCAAGTGAAGCGCACTAAGAATTGACAGTAGCTTCGGTTGCTGTTACTCGTCTCGAAACTTTTGTAGGGGCACGACACGCGGGTTCATCATCACGTGACGTGGGATCACGTGCATTCATCGCGCGTCTGGGTAATCTCGTTTTCCTACATTATGACTTCATTGCTGAGAAGGTGTAAGGGGCAGAGGCCACAGCCTCTTGCATCGACTCTTTACACAGGCCCGAACGCGCTGGGGCTTGCCGCATTGAATTATCACGCGTCTGAAAATATTGTTCCTGGACGCCGTCACTTCGTTGCTAGGAGAGTGTAAGGAAAATTGCAGTAAAGCTCTTGCTGGCTCTCTGTCGATCACGTAGGTCTTGGACGATGATCGGCAGCGATGATGAACTCAAACGCAGGCAGCAGTGGAGGTTGAATAGACGACTTTGTTTATGGGAACGGAAAATATTATTTACAACTGAGCTTAAATGATACAAAGACAAACACAGGAAAAACGTACAGTCTCACCGTTCTACCTTTAAGGAAAGTTAGAGCTTAAACTGTTCTAAATCATATTTGCCTCTAGCCTCACTCGTCTACCAGCGCCATGATTGCAGCTCAGGCTAGATCTATGTACATGTTACCAGCACCGCTGATTCCAGCCCAGACTGCCCAGACATAATTGTGCACGTCAATATCTAGAGCTAAGAACAATGAAAATGGGACGTGGTTGTATTTTAGCCGACCTTCCAGGGCGGTGCCCAATAAGAGCCATAATATTCGTAGGCCACAGCCCATCGGGCAGAGCCAAGACGGAAAGCCAAACTTCAAAGAAAAACAACGGCTTTTCTCCTTTCTCATATACCAGTGGACACAAGCATTGTCAGCAGCAGATGTCACACGTGCGCGATATATAGCTCACACATTCTGCTCTTCAACAAAATCGTTAGCCAGCATAAGAGACGAGGCAACGCGAAACGGGGTCACGCCTCTGCAGCGTGCACCGTCGCTGCAACAGCTCCTCCTGTGCAACGCACCCACCCAGGGTGGTCTGTCACCAAGGGATGAGACAATCATGTGGTGCAGGATGATGAAACATTTTAAAGAACAAGGTAATGCGTGACACTTTTATGCGCAACGAAAAAAAGGTATGGCTTAATAGCTTGCCTTCAGCAGATATGGAGCTTGCAACCTCGTAATCCCAAATTGGCAGGTGGCGCCCACCTACCCTTTCAATGAAGCATGCCTGAACTCATTTTAGACAACAAAAAAGTAGCAAGATTACTGTGCCCTAAATAGTGTAGAGTGATTCACTAATGAAACAGCCACACATTTTTCTAATGTGTAGTGATATTGAAGTGCAGACACAAAAGTATATCTGAATTAAGTCCGATGCTGCGTGGCCCCGGCCCCAAGAATCACCGCACATGTTTGATTAATGGAACTATAAAGCGCATTCTACACGGCCGCGTGCACAGTTGGGCGGATGATGATGGTGATTATGACGTGCTGGTTCTGACTTTTTGTGGTGCAGGTGATGGAACGGTGGATCGCAGAATACGGCAAGGTGTTCGGCTACTACAGCGGTGAGGTGCCGTTCATAGTGGTTTCGGAGCCGGATATGGTAAAGGAGTGCCTCGTCAAGGAGTTTCCCACCTTTCACGACCGCCCCCCATTCGTCCTCTGTGTGGAACCTTTCAGCAGCTGCATGCTGCAGCTCACAGGCACGTACCATTTCACAATACTCTTCCACAACGGGCAATCTGCTAAGAAGCAGAGACTATGCGAAGCAGAATGTGTGTCACTAACTGGTTTCAAGAACGAACGTCTCCTTCTTCAACCCATACTTCTAGCCTGTCGATAACACGCTTATTGTGCAATGCACTTGACGGAGCCCTGTCACATTTTTTGTGCATTGTCAGAAAATGCCGTAGATCAGTAGTAGAGGCTCTCTAGAACACGCAAGCCAAATATTATAGCGCTGAACGCGGCCTGCAATTCACAATAAATTGTCGAACTCAGCTAAAAATTGCTTTGTCTTTTTTTTGACAAATCACCCCCCTCCCCTATGTTGCAAATAAAGAAGAAAGAAGTACCGTTCCATCAATATATCGTTACCGAGCGCACGTCAGTCTCTCTGTCCTCTACATAGTTTGGTGACGTGAAACCCGGGAGAAGACTGATGTCCTGCACGGAAGATGGACCGCCTGTGACGAAGCAGAAGAATAGCCTGAGCCGTCACTACAAGGCTCACCACGTCCGCTACCGAAGCTCTAGAAGCGGTCAATCATTCTCCGGTCGATCTGCAAGTCATCTTGAAGGAGCTCCAAGACAAAAAAGAGACACTTGCAGATTTCAAGGAAATGATTGCTGACCTCATAATCGACGACAGCGAGTATGACGAGGAATTGATGGCAGCTCTTGATTATCACGACAAGATTCGCAATATGATGAGCCGTGTCCGCTACCTTCTTAACTCAGCTTCAAGGACCGCTGACAGCACTGCACCTGTGATCGCTACGGCGACCGAGCCTCCAGAAGTCTCCGCTCAAGGAAGTTTCCGATCACCGCTGCGAGTTGCCCTACTGATGTTACAGGTACCCCTTTTCCCTGGTAAACTTCGCGAAAAGCGGGGCTTCTGGCAGCCTTTTAAGGCCACGATCCACAGCAATGGTGAGCTTTCGGACATTGAGAAAATCATTTATGTGAGATAGTGCGTAACCGGACCAGCAAAACGTGCGATCGAAGGTGTTCAACTGCAGCAAGCGAACTATGCGGTAGCTATCAAGGTGTTCAAAGAGGTTTGGCCGTCATACAGCCCTCGTAGGCGATCACATGAACAGCTTTCTTGCCATCGCTACTGTGGACCGTTCCTCTAACACGTTACAGCTGCGTGAATTCTATGAAAAAATACGCTTTCTCAGCAACTGCCTGGATAGTCTTGGGATTCAAGCGTCGGAGTGTGTGGATATATTTCAGCGTTTTCTCATGCGATCGCTACCCGAAGACGTCGCTGTTCTGCACTGACGAAACATGAAGGAGGCCGAGGTGAACAACGGGGCTACTCCAAGGTACGTGAAGAAGAGGTGCGTGATGTGATGCAGTTCCTTGGGATTAAAATCGAGAGCAGAGAAGAGAGCACCCGTTTACTGTGCCCATAAAGACCCAGTGCCGCGAGACACCAAAGAAGTGATCCTCACTTTCAGCCGCCGGTAGCATCAGCGTTAGCGCTGGCTGGGGGATCTGCAACGAGTGGGCACGCCTGCTGCGTACAATGCGGCCACCGTGAACACACCGTAAAGGACGGTGAGACTACCATGACAGCCGATGATATTCGGATAAAGCTAATAGAGAACGACAGCTGCGTCAAGTGCACGTGCCAGAAAGGAACACGTCACACGACAGTACCGGAACGAAGTGTGTATTAAGTTCAAGCACTGTGCAAGACGTCATCTTACTGTGCTTTGCAACATATAGAAACCGTCCAACCGACTGAATGCTGACAACAGTGACACCACGTAAACCGACAACGTTCCAGTGATCACCACTGCTGCCTCGAGCAGATTTACGTCTCCATCACCAGTGGTTCTTATGCAAACGGCTACAGTATGTATGTAGGAAAGGCACAATGCCGTGCTGCTTCGTATACTGTTTGACACCGGCAGCCAAAGAACATTGATACGACGTGACTTGTCTAGGAGACTCAGTCCACCTTCCTTCGGCACAGAAGACGTCTCTCTGCTAAAGCTTGGCAGCTCCGAACATTCCCGCAACTACCGATACCGAACCGTGAAGCTGAAGCTGCAGAGTGGCTGCAGAGGTGCCAGAAGTATGCGCAGTGAACACACCAGCAATCGGGGACAAGATCCTCTGATGCAGTTGCACGAACGCAAGATGCTTGTGGCTGAATAATCGCAACTCGGAGTTTGACCGATTCAAATCATCAGCGTCCTCATCGGATTAGACAACTATTGGCGTACTGTGACACGGAGAATCGATCGACTAATGAAGGATTTATGCGCCATTGAGACGATCTTTGGTTGGCTAGTGCAAGGCATCTACCAAGTAAATACTGCTAAGGTCTTGCATCACGGGAAGGGCACATTGGCTCTATTCCTTTCGTGTGAGTGCCATATCCAAGCCTCATCTTGCATCGCTGAACTGACAGAGACGTGGCAACTCGGTGCGAGAGGTATTACCGACTCTCCAAAAGCCACCAGTGCATTTACACGTAAAGCACTGTGGTGTACAGGTCCTTTGTTGTCACAGAATCATTCTCAGTGGTATTCGAAGATTTTGTCCATTCCCTCAACAGATGCTACTATTAGGGCGACCAGGGAAGTGACATCAATCTGCCCCACCACCGTGGTGACGCCCTCTACGCGCCCCTGTGAGCTTCTACGCCCCACTTGGATCATCAGACTTTACCCTAACGCCTCGTCAAAGGAGCCGTCTTTAAGAGGACTGAACGCTTCAGAGTGGAAAGAGGCAGAGATGTTTTGGTTGAAGTTGGTGCTATACACCACATTCGCAAGTGAAATTTTGGCCTTGGAAAAAACAGTACGGGATTCGCAGTCATCCATAATATTGACTTCAGAACGATTTCTCTACCGTCACGCCCTACTTCATGTAGGAGGCAGATTTCAGCAGTTTGACGACACCGAGAAGAAGCGGCATCTGGTCTTGCTTCCTGCTGATGACCGGTTCAACCAGTTATTAGTGGACGCAGCGCACGAACGCCTGCTGTATGGTGTAATGAAGCTCGGCATACTGGCGGAAGGTAAAGCGTCATTTAAAGGTCGCCCGCTCACGTACTTAGAGGTCACATCAATAGACGCCCAGACACTGCCCCAATTGTTAGCCAATTGCCACTGCACAGAACGTAAAGATCTCACTCTTAGTGTCGCTGCTTCCAACCTTCAAAACCAGCGCGGCATCAGGCAAATGAACTGCGGAACCTGTGGAAGCGGCGAAAGAAGGGATATCTTTTGTTTGCGTGTGCTTGCTATAATTAAGGCCTATGCCACCTCCTAGCGCAAAGCTTAACGTCCTTGTCCTGGTATATTTTAATACGCTGTCCCTCACGTGCACAACGGGTCGTGTGTTAAGGCGTTTCCCGGAACGACGTTACTACTAACTGACTGTCAGCAAGTTCGGCGGCCTGTGCAGCGACTTTAACTCCTGTAGGCGCACTCAAGCAACGCGGCCGTGGGAGTGTGATAAAAATGATATAGGACAATGCAGCACAGTGCGCGTGCGACGCGGGTCCTGGAGGGAGCCGCCAGTATAGAAGGAAAAAGAAGTAGCCTTCTGTAATTAAATCATTGATTCATTTATATGTGGGGTTTAACGTCCCAAAATGACCATATGATTTTGAGAAACGCTGTAGAGGAGGGCTCCGGAAATTTCGACCACCTGGGGTTCTTTAAGGTGCACCCAAATCTGAGCACACGAGCCTACAATATATATATATATATGTGTGTGTGTGTGTGTGTGTGTGTGGTGTGTGTGTGACGTAAGAAGGCAGGGTTGGTTAGGAGAAGTAGATGAGGAAGAAGTGAGATAGAATAAACATGGCATATGAGCCTAGGCCACGTCGCCCATTCATCATAGCGTCACACAAGTCGACAGGATGAAGACCTGCCAGCCCCTTCATCAGTCGCTCATCATCTACGCAGTTCCCCGCATGACACCCTGAGCATACAGGGACTACCATACAAGTGCCTAGCATTAGGCATCGACCAGCATCATGTCAGAAGCATCTACTGATTTTCCCATCCCCAAGTACACCGGAGCAGCGGACGATGGACTTGTACAAGACTGGTTCAACCTGTTCGAGCTCTACGCTACCGCTGCATCTTGGTCGGAACGGGAGATGGTTACGACCTTCAGCGACTTTGTCACCGGTGAGGCATTTGAACTTTACCCAAGCCACATATTCGAGAACGACGAGTCATGGCAAAAAAAATCAAAGAGGTGATGATTACCCGTTTTAACAACTATGACCAAGACGTACTCATTGCCAACCATCTAGAGACAACCGCACACTATCATCAATTTCCTAAGCAGTCCTCAACCATTCGAAAGCCCAGCGCGAATCGACCACTGCTTCAGCACGAAGTGGCACATGAGTTTACTTACAGAGGGCCATGCCTATATTGGGCAAAATCCAACCGTCAAGTGCGCCTCCCTTCTGCGCGAAAGTCGGCATTTTCGAAGTCATCGCTTCAGCATATGACACGAGACGTTGATCAACCACCAAGCGCGCCTCCCTTCTGCGCGAAAGTCGGCATTTTCGAAGTCAGCGCTTCAGCATATGACACGAGACGTTGCTCAACCACCTTATACCCTTCACTCTTCGTCTCGCATACGTGTTCCACCACCTGGGTTTTCGTCACGTGGTTTTTCAAGCGCTCTTAGCGCTCACCACTTGCCTTGTAAGGACGCCGTATTCATGGTAGATGACCTGGTGCATCGGGAATATACCCTGTCAAGCCATTCTTCTTCCGTACTGTTTCAAGCATCACCGTCCGGTGCACACACCCTTGAGAGTCCAAACAAAAAAGAAAGCTCAGACGCATCGAACGTCGCATGCTACCAGGCGCAAGAACTACTCGCAGTGACCAGCGAAAAAGAAGCCCCTGAAAAGCTTTGTATCATTTCTACGGCACCGCAGACTTGTCAAAATCTGGGGTTCAAACCTAGTAATGCCATGTCACCTGTG